GTGAGGAAACTTACCCATCTTCCTGAAGGGGGACATGCCTGGAGCAGGCTGCTTCACGTCCACAAGGACAAGCATCTGGAAACTGCTTGGGTCTCCCCTTAAAGCTGTGGCTACCCCAGCCCCACCCAGGGCCAACACCATTAGCCCAGCGTTTCCTGAGCACTGATGTCTTTTGAGTTTTATTAACAAAAATAACGCTGATCCTGAGAACAAATTGGTGTGGCTTACACCAGTGATGAGCCCCGGGAGGTGGGGTACTGGGCTGGGGCTCCATTTGGCCAGGCCAAGGCCCTCCATTCACACTGAGGTGAGAGGGAGAGGGGAAGCCGGCCCCAGCTGGACTCAGCAGCCTCGCCTGAGCTTTGAAGCCAGAGGGGGTGGAGTGAAATCAAGGTGTGAACTAAAGGGTAGAGGAGAGGCCCAAGGCAGCCATTTGGTGGGGGGGAGGGGGCACTTGAAGGAGGGTGCTGCCAGGCTGGGGGAGGGGGCCGGAGGTCTGAAGGGGAAGATGGCACAGGCCCTGCCTTGGCCTGCTGCATCATGGCTCAGTACATTGGCTTGGATCCCATGTCCAGATATCCTCCAGGTCCTGGGTATGGTAGAGGGAAGGGGCCCCCCTGAATGAAGTGTGGGGCAAAGGATGTTACAGACGGAGCTGCCTGGTAGGCAGAGCCCCCTGGTCCAGGCTGTAGCTCCAGGAATGCAGCTGAGTAGGGGGCTGGGCGCCCAGGGTCTGGAGCCTCAGGGAAGCTGGGGTTCCTGAAGTCAGGAGAAAAGGGTATCAGGAGAGGAGAGGCACGCACCCTCCTGGAGCACCCAGCCCTCCGTGCACCTCACCTGGCTGGTAGGTGACTGGGGGCCCCATGGAAAGCTGCAGGGTGCAGGAGGTAGGCCTCCGCGCTGGGACCACCACATGGAGGAGCTGGGGCAGAAGCAGCTTCCCGGGGGGCTGGAGCCTGCTCTGGATCTGAGTCCCGAATGTCCCCACCCAGGGTGGAGTCACAGGGCCCCCCGGGTGTATCTGAGGAGACAAAAGGCACAGGTTGGCTAGGGAAGGCTCAGTGTCTCAAGCTTGGCCCCATCACCGTCAGGAGAGCACTCACCCCCACTCCCACAGGCCTCTGTAGCCACTGGCTCTGGGCCCCGAAGTTTCCTCTTCACACGGGCATCTCGCTCCCTGGGGAATGATGATGATGGTGATGATGGTGATGGTGATGATGACGGCACTAATAGTACTTACCAGGTGCCAGGTATTTCACCCTATCAGGCACCCTGTTGGGCAGGTGCTATATTATACCCATTTTACAGATAAGGAACTGAAGGCCAGAAAATTAAGCCACTAAAAAGCAGCAGAGCTGAGGTTTCTCTCTGACTTGGACTTGGTTCTTCAGTGCTTTCCTCCTTGGGTTATCAAAATCCAAGAAAACACCTTCCCAGCTGCAAAGGCCAGGCATCTGCCGCATCACAGCCTTGCTGGAGTCTCCGCACCTGACTGCTTCTTGCAGGAATGCCTCCCTGACCTTCCGTAGCCACACACACCTCCCTCAAGACATGTCACTGTCTACATTTGGGATAGACTAGAAGCTCTCCCAGGGCCTAGGTCAGCTCCTTGGGGCTGTATTCAGAGCCCACGCCCAGGTCTTGGATTGGTAAGCAGTATCTGACTTCCGATCACTTCCCTGACTTGCTTTTTTCACTCTCCTGCCTCAGGGCCTTTGCACATGTGCTTTGCCAGACACCCACGTGGCTCCTTCCCTGACTGAAGGTCTTTTCTCAAATGTCCTCGGGTGCCTTTTATCTGCCACTTCCCTCCCGTCCTTCCTATCCTTTCCACGCTTTATTGCTCATTAGAATTTATACGTTTCTCTTGTTTTTGTCTACACTGCCCACTGGAATCTCGACTGTATGACGACTGAGCAATTTTAAGTATTTAAGAGTGGATCAAGTGTTTTTACTCACCATCATGTTCCCGGTGCCCTGGCAGAGTGCCTGGCACACAGTAAGCAATTAGTAGACACCCACTGAATGAATGATGCCCACCTCTTACAGTTTCTGCCATTCTCTCGGAAACCTTTGGCAAAGGGATTGGCGGCAATCTTCAGCTGTGTGATCTGAGAACACACATTCAGGTCAAGGCCCCCCGCAGCCTGGGCAGGGCACTGCCCCTCCCTCAAGCAAGGTCACTCACTCACCCTAGGGTTCTGGTAGGCTGTCACAGAGATGAATGTGGTCTCGGGAAATCGGAAGGAGGCCACACCTCCCCAGTGTTGGCTGCAGAGCTGGGTGGCCCTCACCAGATGGATTCGGGGCTGGTACTTGTGCATGGAGTGCAAGATCAGCTGGGAGGGAAGAAATGGGGTGATTCCCTGACCTGGCTCCCAGCCTTAGCTCTCCACCCAGTATCACCCTAAAACCCCATCAAGGAGTCCCAGCCTGGGCCTCACGTGGCCATGGGGGTCCAGCGTGCTGTTGGTGAGCTTAACGCGATGGAAGGATACTGGCTGCCGCATCCAGTGGGCACCGGTGGCAGGAGAGTCGGGGTGAATGTAGACGCGGTCAGGTAGGCGGGGCTCCGCCTTGCCACTAGGCTCCCAGTGCTGGCCCTGCCACCGGTAGCGGGCCCCGTCCACTGGAACCACATCCAGAAGGAACAGGTAGCGGGCCTCCGGATCCAGGCCAGTGACCGACACTCGGCAAGCAGGGAACATGCGCCTGCACAGGGGAGAGGGGAGGAAGGGCGAGGCCTGGAGCCACCCACTACCAGACCCGGACCCAGTACTAGCAAAGGGACTGGAACAGGCACCGTGATTTTGGCACAGTAACAGCAAGAGAGGTTTAATTCGATTCTCTGGTGCAAAAATCTCAGCGCTGGAAGGCTTCTTCCATCTTACAGATGGGGAAAAGGGACGGACAGGCTAGGGGTCCCCCGGCAGGCCAGTCTCCCCACTTACCCCTCCACTCTCCACTCTAGTAACAACATGGCGCAATCCTGTCTCAGAGCCCCTACCTCTTCCTGCCCAGGCTTCGGACCCCTGTCCCTTCAAACTCTGCAGAAACCATGGTGACCACCTTCTTCCTGAGGAGCCTCTCGCTCCCACCTAACTGGAGCACAGACTAACCTTCTTCAGAAATAATAGGTGCTGGGCCTGGGGACAGGGTTTATCCAGGGCTCAGGCCTTAGAGACCTTGCCAGAGCTCACACACTGATCACTTACCTTCCTCTAGGGTGAGCTAGGACTTAGCCACATACTGACCCTGACCCTGGACTGATTTTCCTGACCCTGGTCCCTGGCTGGTCCTTACTCCTTCTCACGCTGTCTCTGAGTTAGGCCACGAGCCAACCTATAACCCATCCAGACTTCCGTGCCCCAAGCACAGACTGACCTCTCTGACCCTTAATAGAATGGCTCCTAAACCCAGCCACAGACTCTCCGGACTCATCCTTGAACCTTGTTACAGTGTAACCCCCGTCCGTCCAGAGTCACCGACAGTGTCAGGCCACATTCAGATTTTGCTCTCTGGGTGAAACACTTAAGCCTAGCTCTGTCCCCAGGAATTCTATCCTTTCTAGAAACTGACTCGGCCACCCCTCACCTGCCAGCCTTGGTGATGATCATCTCTGTGCCCACAGCGCTGAACTCCTTCCACAGTTCCTGGTTCTCCAGGCTCAGGCTGACCCCAGGAAGCGAGTGAAGGGCCTCTGGAGGTGGTGGTGCTGTCTCGGGGCCCAGAGATGGCAGAAGGGGCAAAGGAGGGGGCGCGGACAGAGTGTGGGGAGCTGCCTCAATCCCAGAGAGGAAGCAATCCAGTTTAGAGGTATCCAAATCTGGAGATGTGGGAAGAATGAGGATCCAGGGGAGGGCCACATATTCCCGGTCTCCTGCCCCCTACCCAGAGCCGATCCAACCGCTCACCAGGGTAGCGGTAGCCCTCTGCCAGGGCAGGTGGGAAGCTAGAGTCTGCCCCAGGCTGGGGGTGTCCCAGACGGTAGCCAGTCCCCAGGGAGGGGTACAACTCTCGTGGATGGTACATGTTGGTAGTTTCTTCTGGCCTTGTGTCCCGTTGCTAGAGTCCAGGGTCTAAGAGATGCCCCCTTTATAGCTCACAGCACAGCCCCTTCCAAACCAGAGATCACAGCCCCTCCCCTCCCTGGGGCCCTGGAGGTGGGCAGGAATGGAGACCCCTGGGGCCTCGAAGGGGTCCAAGAGGAGGCCGGATACCTGGGTACCCTCCCCTCTCCCTCACGGCTTCACTAGTCCCGACCCCCTGCCCCCTCATTACATAATTAACTCCTCGGCCTGATTGATCCCTAGGGCTAGGATAGGGACGCAGTTTGGCGCTTCCGGCCAGCTGGTCTCCGTTCCCACGGAGGGGGGAGCCCGGCAGGGGGGGGGCAGGGGTGGGATCTGGGTCCTGGTACCAAGTCTAGGATCCCGGGTTAGACCCTAAAGCCCCAGACTTTCTGGAAGGTGACCCCTCCGTTTTCTTCACTTGGAGGACTAGCCTTGAGAAGTGAACTGGAGGGCAAGTGCAGAGTTGGTGCCTGAGCTGACATGCCAGACACTGGGCATCTTCAAGAGACCGCAGCAGAGCGCTAAAGCCTAGAGTCCTCCTTGGTTTATAGTCTGAAAAACCTCCAAGTCTCAAAAGTTGAGGGGCGTGCACAGCTCCAGTCTCGTGCTAGGAGAGCGGTCTCGCGCCGAGAAACACAACTACATTTCCCAGTATGCACTGCGCCAGACGCACGCAAAGGCCACAGACAGGCAGTGCTGGGGTTGTTGGGAATTGTAGTCCAGAGAGGGGGTAGCAAAGCCAGAAAAGTGGGGGCCTTCCTTGAAGCTGCCTCCTAGGCACTGAAGCTAGAGGTCAGAGGCTAGACCAGCTTGGCCTACTGTTCCTACCCCATCCCCCCTGCTGAGGCTCAGAATGGAACCTATCCATAGGAAAGGAGCCTGGACTCCAGGTCCCCTGCCTGCATTCCATGTGAGCCAAGGGCTGTCTCCATTTCATTGTTTTATTATTTACAAACGCTACAGAACGAGAACAGACACGCTGCGGGTAAGAGGGATCCAGTGGGAGAAGTTCACAGGAAGATAGTGCACCGGGGCCATGAGAGCAGCGCACAGGCCGTATCTATGGGACAGGCAGGACAGGAAGGGGTTAAAAAATGAGATCCAAGCCAGCCAGATCGCAGGGAGGTACTGGGGGTGCAGTCCCCCTCCTGGTCTCCCCCCCAAGGTCACAGTGCATGCAATAAAATATATGTACAGGAGCTGGATGCTTCCCCTGTGGGGGCCCTGAGGGTCCAGAGCTCCCTTCAGGAGGAGCGATCCCAGTGGCTCCCCCTGGCGGCCAGGCCAGGAGGACGCCACATGCGTCAGGAGCTAGCTCAGTCCCAGCCGTTGTCTTTGATCATGTGGTTGAGTTCAATGATGTACTTCCCCTCTTTGTATTTCTGGCTGCTTTCAAAGGCTTGCTCCTGAAAGGAGAGAGAGGGCTGCCATCCACGCACAGGGCTTTCACCACCAGCAGTGGGGTTGGGAAATGGATATGATGGGTTTTGTTTTGTGTATGAAAAAACTGTGGTCCAGAGAAACCCAGCTACCTGCCCCCCCCCGCCCCCCCAACTGGCAGGGCTGCTTCTCCCCTGGAACAGAACTTTGAATCATGGGTGCCTTTTGAACATTAAAGACAGCTCCAAACAGGGAAGTACCTAGAAGACTTCATAGTCCAGGGTTGCAAACTGGTGGCCTAAGGGTATCTCAGCCTATAGGTAGTTTTGTTTAGATAGCAGAGAGCTTAATAGAAATAACTTTAGGGGTTGGGGATGCTTAGCATGTGGGAGGGCCTGGATTTGATACAAGTACCGCATTAAAAAAACAAAACAAAACAAAAAACCCCACTAAACTATAAACATACATGCTCACTCCATTTTGCCCCAGCCTGCTTTCCCTGCCCTAAATCTATGCTACCCATTTACAAATCCACATACAAATCCACAGTAACTGCTTGGTTTTCTAGACATCTGAGAGGCTTTTGTTGTTTTTGAGACAGGGTCTATGTAGCCCTAGCTGTCTTGGAACTCACTATGTTATACCAAGCTGGCTTAGAACTCAGAGATCACCTGCCTCTGCCTCCTGAGTGCTGAGATTAAAGGCGTGCACCACCACACCCTGCTGACATTTGAGTGTTTTTTTTTTTTTCCCCAAGACAGGGTTTCTCTGTGTAGCCCTGGAACCTGCTCTGTAGACCTGGTTGGCTTTGAACTTATAGAGATCCGCCTGCCTTTGTCTCCTGAGTGCTGGGATTAGAGGCATGTGCCACCACCGCCTGGCTGACATGAGTTATTTTTTTATTTATTTTCTTTTTTGTTTGTTTGTTTTTCGAGACAGGGTTTCTCTGTATAGCTTTGCACCTTCCCTGGAACTCACTCTGTAGACAAGGCTGGCCTCGAACTCACAGAGATCCGCCTGCCTCTGCCTCCCGAGTGCTGGGATTAGAGGCATGCGCCACCACCGCCCAGCTGACATGAGTTTTTAGCCTCTGGTCTAGGTCACATATTTAGGAATTTCCAAGGGGCCAAGCCACCTGTCAGGGACACACAGAAAATCTGTGGCAGGGCCAGAGGTAAAGTCAAGTTAGGACTGTCCCTGCCTGGGGCATCCAGCTCACAAGAGCCACTCCAAGTGATGCCTTGCCCAACTCCTTGTACATTCCCCAAAGCACCCCCTTTGCTACATCTAATCGGATCCTGGTGAAGCTCTTCCACGCCAGGTAGTGGCTTTATGCTCCACTGCCAGATAAGGAAATGAGACTTGAGGTTGTGAAATCAGATGCTAGACAGCACCAGAAGCAACGTGAGCCGTGCAAAGGAGATCTGTGGACCTAATTTCCACTTAGTTGTGTGACCCTGGGCAAATGTCCTAACATCTTCAGACTCGCCCTGTCTTCTGGAGTAAGATTCTGCCATCAGAACCGTTGTAATGATTGAATGAGAGACTATACACCAAGTGTGTTCATGTGCATGGCATATAAGCATGCACTAAATGCTGGCTCTGCTTGCTCTTTATCTCTAGGATGGGGGCACTAGTGCCTCCGAGGGAAGAGGAACGTCCGTCCTCAAAGCTCTGTAGAATGCAAGGGACCAACACCAGTCCCTAGGGAGAAACAGTATGTTCCGTCTGTGCTGAGCCAGCCCTACTCTGAAAGGTGTATGCTTTCGAGGAAGAAGGGATGTGAGGTTAGGTCAAAGGCCGGCCTGGGGTCAGAGATCACGCACTCACATATTTCCAGCCCAAAGTGGTCTTGCAGTTCTCGCAGTGGATGTCAGCGACAGCATGAAGTCCTGTCAGCAGCACCCTCTCCTCTGCTGGCCCGCAGCCCACATTCACCCTGTGGGGATAAAGGGTGGTCCCAGGGAGGGTCTCAGCAGCCCAGAGCCCCCCTCTAGCTAGCGTATGCAGTGTCTGTTCTTAGCCTCTAAGAGAGGCCTGATCGTGGCTTCCTGTCTGAAACAAGGGACTCTGGGAACATCGGCATGATGCCAGGGGTCACAGGTCACACCAGAGGTCGGGAAAAGAAAGGAAGGAGGTGAATACTCACACAGAGTTGAAGAGGTAGGCACGGCCCTGACTGCCCTGGAAGGACTGGAGGGTGGTGGGAAGAGGAGAGGAGGGGTTAGGGCCGTTGGCGGGGAGTGGCCAGGCAGCCCCTTGCCATTCTAGCTAGACTCGGCGGTGGCCTGCTTACCTTGGAGATGAGGTCGTCGTGGTTGGCCAGGTGAGCACGGCAGTGGGCACAGCTATACCTCCGGTGACAGTCATCCAAGTAGGCCTGAAACGTCTTGGGCTTGGAAATCCGCACCATGGCGGGGGCCAAGGGCAGTGGCCCCACGCGGGGAGCGGCCCACGGGGAGCAGAGGGAGCCCAGTGCCTGCCAGGGAGGAGAGGTGGACTGTCAGGACCAAGGCCACACGTATGCAGGCAAGCCCAGAACTATGGGGACTCTGTCACACTTGGCTGCTCTCTCCGGTCCCTGGAGCCAGGAGTCTCACCAGGGACCAGAGTCATCTCAGTTTTGACTCACTGAGGAGGCCTCAGGTTGCATCAGCGGGTAAACTGAGGCTAGGAGGAGCTCCAGGTGAGTCACCCACCTGCTTCTGGCCTCACCCCTGCTGAGCTGGCATCTGAAACGGGAAGAAGGGGCTTCAGAGTGGATGGGGTGCCAGTTTTCAGTTTCGAGGGAGTATGGGGGGGTGGGTGGGTAAGTAACTGACTGGTCCTTGGGGCCCTATTTGGACGAGGGGCAGGACAAATGTGGGGTACATGGAGTTCTCTTGGGGAAAGGGTCTCTCACCTGGAGACAGAAGGCCTCCCCAAAGGAGGAGGGTCCCCTAGGAAGAGGAGGGGCTTTTACCTGGAGGCGCCGAGCCTCGTCTCCGCCGAGGGGATCTTACCTGCATCGCCAAGCCTTACCTGAGACCCCAGGGCTCACCTGGGGCGAGGGGATGGGGGCGCGCGCGGGGGAAGGGGCAGTCCTCGCTTGCGGGGCGGGGGCGACGCGCAGCGACGCCGGGGCAGGCCTCACCTCGCCTGGGCGCGTGGGGGGCCCGGTCCGCGGGGTAGCCTGGCCTGGGAGTGGGGGGCGCTCCTGATGGGCGCCGTCCCCCCCGGCCCGGTTCGCAGCCGCCTCGACTTGTTTACACCGAGACCAGCTGCTGCCGCGTCTGCGGCGGGAGGGGGAGGGGGCCGGCCTCCTGTCCCGGCGGCCGCCGTGGCCAATCCCAGGGCCGCATGCAAATGAGGGGGCGGGTCATACGGCGGCCAGCGCAGGCAGGGCTGCCCTTCCCCCTGCTCCCCCGCTTCGGCTTCGCCTGCTCGCCCGGAAATGCGGCTGCGACCCGCAGCCTAGCCCGGAGGCCGGTCGGTGCCCCGGGCCTGATTTCGCTTTTAACTACCCCCGGCGCTCGAAGAGACAAGGATTCTAACCCGACGACATGGGGTTAGTAGGCGTCTATACGCACCCTCCCGAGAAACAGTCGTCATTGTCTTCGTTTATCCACTGGCCAGTCTGGTCACCCTGCCCCACAGTCCCGTAGTTTCTCCGCTTGGCCAGGTTCTGAGGTTTGGAGAAGAGATCCTCTCCAGAGATTATCCCGATGGTAAGAGTCAAAGTTGAAATTCTCACTTTTCCCAAGCACGTGGAACAGACTCTTAGAAGGGAAGAGCTAACGGTTGCCCTTTTGCTAGTAGGCTCCCAGGAACCAAAGCTTTAGGGGGACTCAGTCTCTACTGCTGGGCATCCTCTGCTACCGGGCATCATCCTCTGCTCCCGGGCATCCTCTGGTACGCCTGGCCTCCAGGTTACTGTAGATCTGACCCCAGTGGAAATGTCTGTTAAAACATGTGTCTGCATACACAGACTTGTGTTCACTGCAGAGTCCCAGTACCCATCAGGCCTGAAAATTACTGCATTGGGAATATCTATTAAATGAGGTAGGCCCCAGTGTTGGAGATCAGAAAGTGGACAGTCCGTACAGTGGGGGAGCCTGTGAGCTCACCCATGCCTGCCTGCTGCAGCTCAGTGTGTAAGGCCAAAATCAGCAGCGTGAGGGAAATCAAGTCCTTTGTTGTATGCCTGGGTCTTTTAATGGCTTCAGGAAAACCACTCATCTATGGAACTCTAGAGTGGGGCCAGGACACCTGGGTTAGCTTACTACAGAGTGGAGGCCACGCTGGCACAGGGTGTGGTGCCACTGCTGGGTCTGGAATGTAGTGGAACAAGTGGGCCAGCCTAATTAGGCCCCCAGAATTTGGGGGTGGTGGTGGTCTCACTTTGTAGCCTTGGCATCTAACTCAGAGGTCCACCTGCCCTGCCTCTCAAGGGCTGAGGTTAAAGATGTTCATCACCAGACCCAGCTCATCCCAGGTTTTCTTGCTCTCCCCTAAGATGTGTGCCTCTCACGCAGTATGTATTAAACCCAGAGCCACGTTCGTGGTGTGCAAGCACTACATCATTGAGTTCCATTTCCATCTTCAGAGTCTTCAGGATTGACCCTCCAACTCCCCGATCCATGAACTATGTGCTGACAAGAAAATATTTATTTTTCTTAAAAAGAGAGGACAGGGCCTCAGACTGAGGAGGCAGGGGCCCTTGGTTCCTTCTTGTCTAGGTAGTGTCTCAGGGCCGTGGGGAAATCAGTCATGACACCATTAGCCCCCAGGTTGAAGGCCACTTCAAAATCCGATTCTTCATTAAGGCACCAAAATAGCACCTGAGCAGGAAAGAAGGACCAGGTTAGTTTCCAAATCTGCCCAAAGCTTCCTTTAACTTCCAGGAGGGGGCACCCTGTTCTTCTGCACAGACCTCTCTGTAAATGGAAGTTTCTGTCCCACCAGCAACTCCCAAATACCTGGCAGCCACTTCCCAAATAATTGGCTTGGAGGCTTAATATTACTTATAAATGCTTGGCCGGTAGCTCAGGCTTTTTACTAACTAGCTCTTACACTTAGATTAACCCATAATTCTTACTTATGTTTAGCCAAGTGGCTTGGTACTTCTCCTCAGTATGACAATCTCATCTTGCCTCCTCTGCATCTGGCTGGTGACTCCTGACTCTGCCTTCCTCTTCCCAGAATTCTTAGTTTGATTGCCCCACCTATACTTCCTGCCTGGCTACTGGCCAGTCAACATTTTATTTTATTTTATTTTTTTATTTTTTTTTTTTTTTTGGTTTTTCGAGACAGGGTTTCTCTGTGTAGCTTTGCGCCTTTCCTGGAGCTCACTTGGTAGCCCAGGCTGGCCTCGAACTCACAGAGATCCGCCTGGCTCTGCCTCCCGAGTGCTGGGATTAAAGGCGTGTGCCACCACGCCCGGCCAGTCAACATTTTATTAAACCAGTTCGAGTGACAAATCTTTACAGTGTACAAGGGGATTATTCTATAGCAGATGTCCCAGCAATGGTGAGCTGGAGCTGATGGTTCCTTTTTAGGGACTTTCAAACTGGTTATTAAACACAGCTATTATTAATGGATGGTGGTGGCACACACCTTTAATCCCAGCACTCAGGAGGCAGAGGCAGGTGGATCTATGTGAGTTTGAGACCAGTCTGGTCTACAGAGCGAGATCCAGGATAGGCACCAAAACTACACAGAGAAACCCTGTCTCGAAAAACAAAAACAAAAACAAAACAAACAAAAAAAAAAGAAAGCCTATTTAAAACAAAGGTAAAAGCCGGTGGTGGTGCAGGACTCTAATCCCAGCACTTGGGAGGCAGAGGCAGGTGGATTTCTGTGAGTTCCAGGCCAGCCTGGTCTACAGAGTGAGTTCCAGGACAGCCAGGACTACACAGAGAAACACTGTCTTGAAAAACCAAAAAACAAATAAATAAACAAAATGAAATTGGGGTGTGGTGGTACATGCTTGTTTTTATAGCACTGAGAGGCAAGAGACGGAGGAAAGGGAGTTCAAGGATATCCTCTGCTATATAGGGAGTTCAAGGGCCAGCCTGGGCTATGAGACGTGTCACAAATAATCAAAGAACTGAGTTGCTCAATGGTGTAACACTGGCCTGCCATGTGCAAAGCCCTGGGTTTGCTCCCTAGTGCTGCAAAGCAAAACAAATACCACAAGCCAGGGCCAGTGAAATGACTCAGTGAACACCTGAAGACCTGAGACTGGTCCCCAGGAGCCAATGGTGGGAGGAAAGAACTGATTCCTGGAACTTACTCTCTGACCTCTCCATGCACACTGTGGGATGTGCCTCCCCCCACGTACACACACACACACACACACACACACACACACACACACGAGGTAAATGTAATATGTGTTTTAAGTTAACTACTAAACAGCCCATTACTAATTATTTTACCATTTCCTATGTTCTCATCTCTTCTCTCCGTTAGGGCCTCTTTAACCAAGCTAGCCTCAAACTCTCTATGTAGCTGGTGATGACCTTGAACCTCTGTCCTCTCCTTCCATGCCCCTAGTGCTCAGGTTACAGGTATGTATCACTATTCCTGTTGTTTTTTTATTTTGTTTTGCTTCTTTTTTTTTTTTTTTTTTTTTTTTTGTGTTCGGGTTTTTTATTTTATTTTATTTTTTTATTTTTTTTTTTTTTTTGGTTTTTCGAGACAGGGTTTCTCTGTGTAGCTTT